ATTCCGACCGGATTTTGGCAAAAAAAATCAGTTTTGATTTCGTTCAAAAAATATAATATGTTCGTTTTGACGAAATGACTGTTATGTGTTTGTCTGTGTGTCTGTGTTTGTGTGTGTGGCCGTCTGTGTGTGCGCGGTTGTGTGTGTCTGTCTGTGTGTGCGTGTGCGTGTGCGTGTGTGTGTCTGTGTCTGTGTGTATCTGTGCGTGTGTGTGTATGTGTGTTTCTGTGTGCGTGTGTGTGTGTGTGTGTGTATCTGTGTGTATGTGTATCTGTGTGCGTGCGTGTGTGTGTGTACCTGTGTGTGGTTGTGTGCGTCTGTGCCTGTGTGTTTGGTTGTGTGTGTGTGGTTGTGTCTGTCTGTGCGTGTCTGTCTGTGCACCAGAAAATGCGCCAGGCCCACGACCTGTAGAAGTATAATCAAGAGGCAGCGCCCAGCCATTCATTCATTCCCGCATGAGCCACCCGGAAGCGCTGTCACAACGACTTGTGCAATGAGGTCTGCAGTGGCCCCGGAGGATGCAGTGTGTGACTGTGTAAGTGACAGCGCTCTACGTTTTTACTGAGTGTTTTCACTGTGCGCTGAATGTCACCGCACACTATGTGTCTGTGCACTGTGCCGCTGTGGAGGTATGTATGTCACTGTGCATTGTGTCACTGTGTACGGGTCACCGTGAATAAGTGTGTGTGTATTGCAGTGTCCGTGTGCGTGTCACACCGTGACTGTGTGTCCCCGTGCATGTCACATTGTGACTGTGTCACCGGGCATCTGTGTGAGTCACAATATTCGTCTGTGTGTTTTCACCATGCACCGAGTGTCGCCACGCACTACGTGCCTGTGCCCTGTGTCGCAGTCTGTGTCTGACTGTCCAATCTGTCTGACTGCCTTTTCGTTCGATCCGTCCGTCGATGTCTGTTTGTTTGTTGATGTTTGTCCGTTTAACTGCGTTCTGTTTGTCTGACAGTTGCAAGAAAAAAAATGATCACTAGCGAATCCCAGAGTCAAGCAGCATCATACATATGAAACCAAGTAGTCTTGCTCTTCAACCAAAAGCAGTATTGCAACACGAGTTTTCAGCAATTAAGAAGACGCTATGAGCTTCTAATCGACAATGCTTAGCATAGTCCCATCACTACCTATGCAGAATCAATGCCCGTATCCTACCTGTGGTCGGTGCCCAAATCCGAAGTGGATAGGTCCTACCTATCCTACTATCACCATGCCACACGTTTGTTCGTACAAAAAACAGAGACGGAGGTAAGTTTATTTCGCAAGTAATAAGGCCAAATATAATAATAATAATAATAATAATAATAATAATAATAATAATAATAATAATATAACAATGATAATAATAATAAATATAAGGGAAATAAGCAACGGGGCAAAGGTGCATGCAGGCCTTAAACACTTTTGCGACCACTTTTAGGCCTCTGTCTTTATGTGTTTGTGTGTGTGGCCGTCTGTGTGTGCGCAATTGTGTGTGTCTGTCTGTGTGTCTATGCACCTGTGTGTGCGTGTGTGTGTCTATGTTTGTGTGTATCTGTGCGTGTGTGTGTGTGTGTGTGTGTTTGTGTGCGTTTGTGTGTGTGTGTGTATCTGTGTGTGTGTGTATCTGTGTGCGTGCGTGTGTGTGGTTGTGTGCGTCTGTGCCTGTATGTTTGGTTGTGTGTGTGTGGTTGTGTCTGTCTGTGTGTGTCTAACTGTGTCCTTCTGTGCGTGTGTCTGTTTGTAAACTCGACTGGCACAGACGAAAGTGATTATAGGCCTATAACAGTTATGGGGAATGTTACTTTGTGTGTGTGTGCTTGTGTTAGTCTGTGCCAGTGTACACACTCAAAGAGACACACACGGAAATAGACACAAACACACAGAAACACATGCTCATGAAAACACGAACACGGGATGAGTCTGTGTTCGTGTGTGGTACACAAAAAACATACAAACACGGACACGGACTGTGTAAGTGTGTCCGTATGTGTCTGTGTGCATGTGTTGTTGAATGTGTCTGTGTGTATGTGTCTGTGTCCGCGTCCGTGTGCGTGTCTGTGTGCGTATGTCGTTGTGTGTGTCTGTGTCCGTGTGTTTGTGTGTGTCTAACTGTGCCCTTGTGTGTGTGTGTTTGTCTGTTAACTCGACTGACACAGACGGAAGTGATTAAAGGCCTTTAGTGATTATAGGCCTATAACACTGTTTTGTTAGCCCGAGACACCTTTCACGAGAGAGAGAGAGAGAGAGAGAGAGAGAGAGAGAGAGAGAGAGAGAGAGAG